CCTCCCTCCCTCCCTCCCTCCCTCCCGTCCTTCCTTCTTTTTTCTTTCTTTCTTTTTGTGTGAAATGACTTACACTTGGGCAGCATTTGAGACTAGTTGAGCTGGTAGTGTTCCTGAAGGTGTGCTGGAAAAGTCATTGGCCTCTTAGTGAGGGTGAAAATACAAAAGGGATGGAGCAAAATTTGACTCAGGACTTATTCTTCAAGATACAACCATCAAGACCAATTCTATGAACGAGGCTGGAAAGCTGTCTTGCTGTTGATATTATTAAGTTGATTTTATACATTAAGCTTGAAGTCTTGAGGCTGCTCTGTCATTGCTAAGGGATTGGGTTAAAATATCCAAATGCTTTCAAGCCCACACTGATCCAAATAGGAAATGGGCTTGTTCTGGCCTGCACTTGGAGCTTCCATGTTTTCTAAATACATGTTTATGACACTTTTATGATTAAATTCCCCCAGTGCTTGACTGTCTCTAAAGTGTTAACATTTGCAAACACACATAATGGATTAGCCTCGTATAACCATTCAGACTCAGCAACCGTCAGTACCTTCCCGTTATCTATCCCATTTTCTTCCTTAACTATGAAAGCAATTTCCAAATGCCATGTCCTTTCATTCTTCTGTGCATGACGCATCTCTTAAACTTTCGCATCATTGTAAGTCGTGATCCCGTTACAGACTAGGACTAAAGGTATATAATTGCGTACGGTAAAACCATTTGTCCAGAAATACCTCAGGGGAAGGGCACCCGGGAATGGAGTGGAACACATCTCCTTCGGAAGCAGTTGTGTCTGTATACTTTTCTTTTCTTGGGAAAATTAACTGAAGAAAAGAGAAATAAGAACAATTAAAAAAAATGGTATCTGGAGAACATGCAGCGTCTTCACAGCAAACTGCGCTGGAGTTACTTGTTCATCTGAGATTAAGCTGTACACAAATGACTGGGGTACACAGGAACACGGGTACATTCCTAACACCCCACATTAGCTGTAAGACCTCAGTGGTGACATCCGCCTGCACATATTTCTTCCACAGCGTTCTTAGACGTCTCATCTTAGCTAGGGAATTAACGGCAGTTGTTGGACAAGAACATTGTCCAAGATATTCTCTATTTTAGAAAACTAGAAACCCAATTTTTGTATTTTGGATTGAGTAATCATTGCTATTGGTAGTTAAAAAAAAGCTAACTTGTAACTTTTTTCCTCATGTATGTAAAGGGAATGACTTGGGGGAGGTGTCTTCATTTGATTAACCTCGGGGCAACCAGAGTTCTAATTAAAAAGCAGCGCCTGACTTTTCAGCCCAGGACACACCATCTTTCATCTAGCCAAGGAAGCATTTTTCATGTCTGCAGTGACAGCCTTGGGTGTGACCACTGTCGTCTTTCTGTTGAAACTTATGTGTCAGAAAACTTACAACTGACACTGTCCCTGAAAAACATGAGAACACTTTGAGCATACATACCTTTTACATTTTTTTCCTTCATAAACTCCATAACCATCAAAAGCTGCCCTGCGTAGATACATAGCCAGAGATGGCAGCCAATGGGCCAGTTTATCACCTCACATTGTCGAATCATGATTTGGCACAGCATTAACTCAATTCACATTGCCCTCCTCCAATCAACAACATGCACGCTCACTTAATAAACTTACTTGGATCTTGCCTCTTACCTAAACATCTAGGTTTACTAATAGACCAACATTCTCCGTTCTTTATACTTGTAAGGACAGCATGCAATAGTTTAGAGAATGATTTTCTTAGAAAAATAATTGTAAACTATATATCAATATTTTAAAATGCAGTTACTTAGGAAAAAAATGCTCAAAGAGTATCCCCACCACCACCACCACAAGATAACTAATGTAGTTCAGAAAGCCTACATATTTCCCTCAGTATCATTAACTGCTGGTGTACCTAAATCATTCTCAGCATAAACATCACACTTAAAGACCTAGAAGTACAAACAGGCAAACAAACAGGTCACCCAGGCCAATTGTTTCAAAGACCTACCTGGCCTCTGTTCGGTGATAAAAAGAAGACTCATTGCAAAAATAAAAAATACCAAAAAATAATGCTGAAATCTCATTTTTTTTTTCCCCTTTTCACACACAAGTGAACAATAGCTCTCCAAGTAAAGGAATCGTCTGTAAATAGTCTGCGCAGTATCTGTCCAGCTCACCCCGCATCCTACAGACAGACCTCAGAGGGCTGCCGGCTGCTTTTTCCTGAAAAGGTTAATGATCACATCAGACAAGGTTACAGGCGCACTGGGCTGTGGTCAGAGCTCCCGAGCCTCAGGCCCCTCCCCCATTCCTCCCCGCTTCTCCCCGGTCACTCCCCTTTATTTCCATAAGCAAATATTGGTGAAATGGACCATTCAGGCATGCAGGAACTTCAGTGGGAAGGCTCCTCCGCAAAGGCTCCAAGGAGGGTGACTCCAATCTGTTTATGAAGAAAAATGTAAAACGAGGCATGGCCTGCCTCCTCTCCTCTCCATTTGCATCTGTTTAAACTTTGCATTGCCCATATTGGTCCCACATGCAGAAACCAGTGGAAACGGCAGGAAGTTTCTCTTTTGTCCTCTTGCAGAAGGAATGCTGGAGCTCTAACTTAAGATTCCCAAATGCTTGATGCCAACTGTTGGAGTGCTTTCTCTTTGCCAAACCTACTACAAAGTCGTGCCTATTTATATTAAATCTCCAAATGGCTTAATTTGTGTGGGTTTCTCTCATCAGAGGTTCCTGGAGTTTAGAAAGTTCAGAAGGAAATCTGCAAAATGTTTATCTTTTTATTTAAGTGCAATTTAAAAAGTAATGGAGATCATTTTCATCTGCAAACATCTAAGAGTTTTCAAAAGAAGCCCAGGCGAGGCGCAAACACAAAACCAATGCTCTGCTGTAAATTTGCGCGTGGTGGAGTGTCAGGTAACCACAGGCACACGGACCACATTATAGGTGGAGAGAGAATTTTCTAGTTCATCTCCAAAGAAACGAAAGGAGTCTAGTTTTGTCTTGCACACATACCAAGCTCTCCCGTTTAAGGGCTTTCTTACCTGTCATAAAATGCTGCTATATGTGAGAATTATCGTAATTGTTCTAAGCCAGAAGGACACGTAGCTGTACTCCGAAATATAAGTAGACCCAAGATATCAAGCCTCAAGCACATGTGAGTGGTTGTGAACTATCAGGAACTGTGTTGTAGTTGGCGTCTTTAGAGTCAGGTGATGGGCACATACAACCTTAGGCTTCTTAAGGTTTGAAACTCATGCACAATCCGTTTTGATTTTACAAATCAACCTGTAAAATTCCATATCTGCCTAGTTGTGCATTGCAGTTTGTAGAGAATGTTTTTAAAAATTATTTAAAACATTTCAAAAGATCATTTCAGGCCAACTGTGATGGCACAGACCTTCAATCCCACCACTCAGGAGGCAGAGGCAGCCATATCTCTGTGAGTTCCAGGCCAGCCTGGTCTACATACCAGAGAGACCATGTCTCAAAAATAAATAAATAATAAAAATTTATTTGGTATGTATGGGTGTTTTGCTTGCCATGTACATGCAGTGCCCACAGAGGCCAGAAGGGGGCATCAGGTCTCCTGGAGCTGGAGTTACAGACAGTAGTGAGTACTGGAATGAACCCAGGTCATCTATTAGAGCAGGTCTTGTTTTTAACTGCTGAGCCTTCTCTCCAGACCTGTTTTATGTTTTTTTTTTTTTTTTTTAAAGGATTTTTAATCCAGAAGTGGTGGTAGTGTATGCCTTTAATCCCAGCATTCAGGAGGCAGAGGAAGGTGGATCTGAGTTAGAAGCCAGCCTATTCTATAGAGTGAATTTCTATTTGTGGAGTTATAAAGGTTTGGTGAAGGAATATATTAAATTTGTGGGATGTTAAATATTCATTTATATAGTTTAAGTAATTTTTAAAAAAATTGTGATGCTAGGTGGTGGCGGCGGCGGCACATGCTTTTAATCCAACACTTGAGACAGAGGCACTCAGATCTCTGAGTTCGAGGCTAGCTTGATCTACAGAGCAAGTTCCAGGACAGCCAGGGTTACACAGAGAAACCCTGTCTCAAAAAAAAAAAAAAAAAAAAAAAAAAGAAGAAGAAAAGAAAAAAATCACATATCACCACGCCTGCCTTCAACAGTTATTTTTACAAGAACAATAACAAATGATTACAGAGTTGTTGGACAGCTGGAATGCCAGGCACTGAGGACCAAGGTCGTATGACCAGTGGTTTTGTGAATGTGAGGCAGCAGTCATGGTCGATCATTCATCATGGCACTGAATAACCAGGTGTGGAGACATCTTGGGAGCAAAGTGGAGTCAGAATGATGCAAGTGTCTCTGCTAAGAGCACCCATCATGCAGATGTGTGAAACGGTGACTCTCCCACACTAGGGCCCGCAGAGGTTCACCTCTGACAGGCAAGCCCAAAGCAGCGTCCCTTTAAGCCAGGTACCATGCTAAGCATATGTCATGCATTACTTCACAGCATCCACCCCACACCCTGAAGTATTGTTCCATCCATCTGCTTGCTCGATGAAGGAATTGATAGCTAAGGAAGAGGAGCCTGTAGGATCCCATCCCATCATCTGAGCTCTAGTTTCCTCTTTAAGGTACAAATTCTCATTCCTATTTTCAAGGTAGTTTACCAAAGCCAGTGTAAAAATAAGGGCATTGCTGGGCGTGGTGGGGGTATACCTGTAATCCCAACACACAGGAGGGAGAAAGAGTTCAAGACCACTCGGAGCGACATAGAAGTTCTGGGCCAAATTGTCTTCTTAATTTTTATCTACCCATAGCTTCATGCAGCTCTGGTCCTTCGTCGGAGAGTATCAAAGCTCCCTTTGCCATGGACTATGGTAGTTAGTACAGAGTCACCACTAGTCAAAGTGCAGAGAATAAGACTATGGTGTGCTGGGCCCCAAATGGGCCACGTGTATCACCCCTAACCCCAAGACTCAGGCAATATGGTACAAGAGAACTGGAAAGAACGTAAGAGCCAGAGGTCGGGGGAGGGGTGGGCAGCAAAATAGTGTCTTCTGGACCTAACATGGCTGGTGAGCTTATGAACTCACTGCAACTGTGGTTGTCTGCCCAAGACCTACCAAAGATGGCATCTATCAACATTTCATCATGGAAGTGGGGAGGGCTCTTGGGGCCCCAGTCCTCCCTGAGGGACCATTGGCAGTTAATGGCGGCTGGGGAAAGGGGTGTCATTTTTCCTCAGTGGTATAGCCACTTAGAAGTTGTCCATGCGCCAGCAAATAACCCCTGACCCATCTTCTGCCGCAACCCTAGTGAAACTCACCAGTCACACACAAAGGCATAAAAGGGGAGTTGGGGGGGAATGGGCAGGCAGAGCACTTATTGAGAAGAAATGTTTCCATAGGAGAAGGAGGGGTAGGACAAGTCAGTGGGGGTGGAAAGGACTAGAATTCATTATATACTTGTATGACAACATCAAAGAGTACTTTTTCCCTTTCTTTTCATTGTTTTTTTTTTTTTTTTGTTGTTGTTGTTGTTGTTTTAAGAGACAGGGTTTCTTTGGTATCCTTGGCTGTCCTAGAACTAGCTCTGTAGACCAGCCTGACCTCGAACTCACAAAGATCAGCCTGCTTCTGCCTCCAGAGTGCTGGGATTGAAGGCGTGCACCGTTACTGCCCAGCTAAAGTGTACTTTTTTAAAAGTTATATTAGTGACGTATTTCTTGAACAAAGTTCAGTAGAGTCCCTTCAAAATTGATGTCAATCTGGAACTCAGAGTGTGGTGGTTTGAATAGAAATGGTCCCCATAGACTCATGTGTTTGAATGCTTGGTCATCAGGGAGTGGCACTATTAGGAGATGTGGCTTTATTGGAGGAAGTGTGTCCCTGGAGGCAGGCTTTGAGGTTTCAAAGGCTCAAGCCAGGCCCAATGTCTGTCTCTTCCTGCTGCCAGCCGATCAGGATGTAGAACTCTTGGCTCCTTCTCCAGCACCGTGTCTGCCTGTGTACCACCATGCTTCCAGCCATGATGATAATGGACGAAACCTCTGAACCTGGAAACCAGCCCCAATTAAATGTTTTCCTTATAAGAGTTCCCGTGGTCATGGTGTCTCTTCACAGCAATAGAACCCTAATTAGGACACAGAGTGTGACCCTATTTGGAAATGGAATCATTGCTTGTTTTGATGATACTGGGGACTGAACCTAGGGCCTTGAGGTTGTTAGTCAATTGATCTACCACTTAGCTATATCCCCATGGGGTCTTTGCAAGTATAATTATCACTGAGGCTATACTGTAGTGGGGTGACTTCTAAATCCAATATGATATCTGTCCTGTAGGGAAGAGAGGGTGGTCAGATGTATGGGCATATGCCTTTAATCCATCACTTAGGAGGCAGAGGCAGGAAGATCTCTATGAGTTTGATGCCAGTCTGGTGTACATAATGAGTTCTAGGACAACTAGGGCTACATAGTGCTGTGGAAAATTCTGCAGCCTTGAAGAAACAGTTGGAGGGAAAAGAGGAAGAGGAGGAGGAGGAGGAGGAGGAGGAAGAGAAGGAGGAGGAGGAGGAGGAGGAGGAGGAGGAGGAGGAAGCACTCAATGATAAACAGAGGGAACACCAGGAACAGAGGTAGAAATCAAAGCTAGGTATATTGTTGGCTCACGCTGTAATCCCAGCACCTGGGAGACAGAGGCAGGAGGATCATGAGTTCAAAACCAGCTTCTGCTGCACTGTGAGTTAAAGGCCAGACTGGGCTACATTAGTGTATATCTCAGAACAAAGCACCAGATGAGATCCAAACCTCCTGTCACAAACCAAGACAGGAGCACCAAAGATGCCCGGAAAGAAGTGGAGCAGCTCCGTTGTCTAAGACCTGACCCCCATGCCCACAAAAATCAGTTCTACTAACCTTGACTTTTGGATTTTTGGTCTCTTGAACTACAACAACAACAAAAAATTTCTGTTGTTTTAAGCCACCGGCTTTGTGGTCCTTGTTATATCAATCCTAGAAACCTATAAAATCCAATGTACACATATCTCCTATCTATCTGTGGAGTCTCTGTATAATTTGTAATTGTTTTTATTTTCTAGATAGGCTCTCATTGTGTAGCCCGGGCTAGTCTTGAGCTTGCCCTTGTCCTGCCTCAGTCTTTGAATGCTGGGATCACAGATCTACTCCACCACGGTAACCTAGCTTCTGTTTAACTTAATGAAATAGACTTATTTTATGGT